TCCTTGCAGAGGGCATTCCGGTCCTAAACGGGTCTTGCGGCATTCTGAAAGCGCCAATGTGCACAGGATGCGTGACTTGACTGGCCGCTAAATGTGTTCTCCCAAACTGACCAGGCACTCGTGTTGCGTTCCCACCCAAATGCCTCAATCTACATCCACTACGCCAACCACTAATCGTCAACAGTCGTTCAGCTTTCGTTCTCGAGGGGTTCTTTTTGTAATTTGCTATACCAGGTGTTGAGCTTGGTTTTGAGTAAATACCACCCATATCCACAATGGCAGCCCGATCCTATAATGCGGAATGATGGCATACATGCTTCCTGGCGCCGCAGTCCATACTGCACATGCGCCGCCAGTTGCGGTGTACATTCATGTACAGTTACGTCAAGCGCTATGGCCTGAGACTATGCCTGTGGGTACTGGTTCTACTCGCGGCCCACCGCATGTAAGCTGGGGAGATATGGCTCAATGCACGCGCCTACACTCGGAAGAGAGGTGCGTCAGTCGTCTCATTCGACATGTGAAAGGTAGCGATAAGGCCCGCGCATGGAATCGCACGTGTGTCTCGTCTCTATCGATGCTGTATTATTCAGTCGAGGTCGGTTTTCAATATGGTGACGACGGACGAAGGCTAAGAGCCCAAGAGCCTAAGACGGATTGGCATGTCTGCCGAGATAGCCTACGTTTGAGCCTCAAGTTGCCTCATCTAGCTTCCGATACTTGGCGATAATTGTCGGCCGGATGGTTCTCGCCGGAAACGAGGAGCTATCGATCGGAGCTGGTAGACTCCAAAGGGACTCATCAGCATCGCCTGCCCTGAGTCCCTGAGGCTCTTCATTTGCGGACGCCCCAGCCGATTCGAATGGCTGTTCCAAGGCGCCGAAGCGATATGCGAGCTAATCAGATATGACATCACTAGCGCAAAAGACCCTCAAAACTCTGCAACACAGTTCCACAGCAACACCAACCGCGGCCGTCTACCACATGGCGCGCATGGGACGGCAATACTTTGAGACCGCCTGAGATGCAGGAGGCCCTGTACCGTGACTGTCATACCCACTATTATTGCAACATTACCAGACTACTTGTCGAATGGGCATCGAGAAACATGCCACAATCTCTCACCACATGTCAGAAGCGCACGCCTGGGCTCTCCCTACCGCTATCGAATTCCGGTGTTGCAAAACCGTCCCTTGCCCTCAATCTGCCCGAGTGACGCCATAGATCTACGCAATGCCATCCAACAGAATCCCAAGCCATACCCTTATCGTTCAGGGTCCGGCACATTTACGCAGAAGCGCAGTGTACCGTGCCGCTAGAGTTGCAGTGGACGTTTGAGTAGTGTAGGGGGCGAAGTACAGACTACCTTGTCTCTTCGGTATAAAACTCTGGGTATCTGCGCGTAAACCAACCATCAACCCACCTCCACATATCCACTTACCCACATACCCACAGTTCTCTCCGCTTCCTTTGAGGGGTTTTCTGGAGACATTACCTATCTATCGGGCTCGCAAACTATAAAGGCTGTTGTACTTCCAGCGTTTTCGAACTTGCTCAGACCACAACTGTACAGCTTCTTGCAACAAACACACGTTGCAAACTTCCTCGAACCCAAACTCCACACACTCCATCACCATGTCGGCACCTTCTCTAGCAGCCCCTTCAACGGGCATGCGTCGCCTCTCTGCCAGTGAGGCTACCAGCGACAACATCAAGATGGGCCCAACGGTCGTCGTCCCCCCACAACATCTCATGGCTCCCTCATCAAAAGCATCAGAGATCGCCAGTGCCTTCGAGACCGCCAGACATCACCTTGACGCTGCCAACACCCCTGGATCTCCTGGCTACACTCCCCCAGAGACATCAGTTACGGACAAATACGCCTTCGCTTTCGGTATGTTAGTCACCATGGTAAAGCAAGTCTTTTCTAACGCATCCTAGATATCGATGGTGTTCTCATCCGAGGTGGACGACCCATCCCAGAAGCCGTTGAAGCCATGAAGATGCTCAACGGTGAGAACGAGTACGGCATTGTTGTACCATACATCTTCGTTACAAATGGTGGTGGCAAGACTGAAGCCGAGCGATGCGTGCAACTCAGCAAGCAAATGGAGATGGAAGTATCTCCTGGACAATTCATTTGCGGACACACACCCATGAGGGAGATGGCAGAGAAGTACAACACCGTCCTCGTCGTTGGAGGCGAGGGCGAGAAGTGCCGCATTGTCGCTGAGGGCTACGGGTTCAAGGATGTGTAAGTTGGTCCGTAACTTCTGTCCATGACATCGACTAACATCGCTCCAGCGTCACTCCAGGAGACATCATCAAAGACAACCAAGATACTACACCCTTCCGCAAGCTCACAGAGGAAGAATACAAGAACTCGCGAGTCCGCAACTTCGCTGAGGTCGACATTGACGCCATCTTCGTGTTCGCCGATTCTCGCGATTGGGCATCGGATCAGCAGATCATCCTTGACCTGCTGATGTCGAAGAACGGTCGTCTCGGAACCCGATCTGCCAACTTTGACGAAGGTCCACCAGTCTTCTTCTCTCACAACGATGTCGTCTGGAGTGCTTCGCATGACCTTACCCGTATTGGTATGGGCGCTCTTCGTGTTTCACTCGAGGCCATGTTCAAGGCTGTCACTGGCCGCGAGCTCAAGACAACCGCATTTGGCAAGCCTCAGATTGGCACTTTCGAATTCGCCACCCGCCTTCTTGCCGAGTGGCGTCGCGACACCCACGGCATCAACTCGGCTCCTTCAACCGTCTACTTTGTAGGTGACACACCCGAGTCTGATGTGAGGGGTACCAACGAGTACAATGAGCACACCGACTCTGCAAACTGGTACTCTATCCTAGTCGAGACTGGTGTCTACCAGCGCGGCACCACACCTCGCTTTGAGCCCAAGGCTATTGTGAAGAACGTCCTCGACGCCGTCAGGCACGGTATGGAGCGCGAGTACAAGAAGGCTCTGCGGGAGAGCATGATGGAGACTGGTGTGCTTGAGGAGTAGAAGTCTTTTGACTCTCTTCTCTCTTTTTCTTCTTTGCTTTCCTTTCTGCATAGCACGGCGTTTGGGTAGTACCTCATCTGATTTCGGCAAGAGTCACTGCAGCAGTCGCTATAGATGATAGACATAGCTAGATCGCGCAATAGTAGACACAAACACAATTCATACAAGGCAGGCACAAATTGCCTCGTCACTTCAATCAGCCAATCTCTCTATTGCACATCCTCACTTTGATCACTAACGAAGAGCATCGCGTGTTTCAGACCAAATGACCATCTACGTGAACCAACTACCGACGTCTGCATTCGCAAGCAAGTCGATCCGGCCTTATTCATCCCATCACCTCGCCTACAAATGCCTCAACGATAGATCCTACCAAAAGGCAGCGAGCGAGTGTCGGCGGCAACTTCCGATTCGATCATTCCCACCCGGAATGACGAGGAGCGCAACGCCGCGTTACCCGGCACTTTCCACACGGCGCTCAACACCGCGAAGCTTGTATTGCGAACCGCCTGAGTCGGGCCGAGGTGGCTCGTAGTCGCCGGTTAGTGCGACCAGCGACCACTTGCATTACGACGGCCTCCATGATATCAGCCCACGTCACCAACGAGAAACGGCCGAGAACAGCCTTGCCGATGGTATCGCGATGAGAGAGAGCTGTAGAGTGAGACTGTGGGAAGTTAATCGTGGGCGTTGTGGGCTGGAAGGATTGTGAGAGAGTCGATTGCGTGACTGTCAATGGCGGAACGTGTTCCGCAACTGTAAGAGGAAGTTGCAAAGACACGGTTAGGTCCCTCATCGCGATTTCGTGTCTGGCTCCACTACGAGATACTGATACGACGGCATGTGACATGCATAGGTGGACCATGTCCTCGGCACGGATAACACATCTTCCAACGGCCGTGGTGTACCGTATGTAGAGCACAGCACAGCAGCTCGGACATGTTTCGAATCGATCGACGAGGCGACGTTGCAACATGGGCCACATGTGGACCCCCCTCATTGCGAGGGGCACACGACGGAGGAACCATCCTCATCCCACTTTCGCGCAATCTTATCGTTTCTCCAACGGGTGGATGAGGGACGACCGGCGGAATAGTGTTGCAAACAATCCTGAGACAAACATACGGCTATACTCTAAACTCTCGAGATGAGCCCGACACGACACTGACAGTCTGAGTTCGCGCCTTGACTCATGGCCCTGGACCCCGCGACTCGTTTGACAACAGCCGGCCGCTGACGATCTGGGGTGGCCTTGCGGGCAATGCTGGACGTCAAACAACGAGGAATTACCTTGTGCGTTCTTTCAAGGCTGAAGCATGTAGAGGTTGGGGGGGGGTAGCTGGTCAAACGTGAGACCAGTGATCCTGATTGACAGCCAATCTGACACTGAAGATCCCGTCTGTCTCATTTTCCCCTTCTGGCAAGTGAGCAGATTTTACCGTCTCCCCGCTGGCTGAGGCGTTTTGGTTCTCGTCGGTCCGTAATGAAGCCTTGCGGCAGGCTGTTCGACCTGCGCTGATAGGTATGCTGGACCCTGCAGTTGAGGGTTGCAGATAAGCGGTCGCTAATGCAAATGGCCGATGGTCCGCTCGGCAGTCAACGTGTACGCTCTTGTACAGAGTTCCATGTGATGTGGTACGTTGGGCTGGGAAATTATTGTCGTACGTGAAGATGGTACTGCGTGAATCACTAGTCAAGGCCAAGATGTTGGTGAAGGTTTGGCTGAATGGTAGGTTTCTTGCGCTACTCGAATCCGATTGGCGAGCCGGCGTGTAGAGGACTCAACGAAAACAAAGACCACCTCCCATACACGTGTGCATCGGTGGATTGTTTTGTCACGCGTCAGATGTTTAGTTTCAAACACCACTCCACTGTAGAGGTCTCAGTGCCACGGAAGATGAGAGAAATAGATGGTATTGGTATATACGGAAGGAGAAGAATGGACAACAAGGAAGGCTTGGCGATATGTAACCACCTCCCCTCACTCAGAGCGCTCTTCGTAGGCGTTGAGACTGTAGAACCAGTCCAGCTTGTCTCGTATAGCCTCTTCTGTGTAATCTGCGTCGTCCACGTTCTTCGGTCGGAACTTGGGCTCCATGGGGTCGATGAACATGGTGGAGTTGTCGTAGCCCCATTTCTCAAGGTTCGTGACATTGAATGCCACCATCATGCTGCATGTTGTTAGTATGAAACTTCGTGACTACAGTATCCGAGAAAACTTACTCGTGGTCTTCGTGGACGAGGTTGTGACAATGAAACATGTAAACACCTGCCCACGGTGCGTAGCGAGCCACGACCCTGACGACTTCACCAGGAGCGATCCACACAACGTCCTTCGTACCCGCTGCTTCATATGGCATCACCTCGTTACGATTCCCCGTACGAGACAGCACCTGGAAGTCGACCAGGTGGATGTGAACAGGGTGCGAGGCATTTCCACCTCCGTGTCTCAACTCCCAGATCTCGTCCGCGCCCAGGACAGGTCTTGTCAAGATGCGGTTCTCGATGTCTTCCCAGCCTACACCGTTGACGAGCCACTCGCCGTCGATTCGCGAGAATTTGAAGCTCTTGGTGATGTTCGTCTCCGGAGGTGGAGGGATGTAGCGAAGCTCGGATGGTATGGGGTCGTTGTTGGTGCAGTCTGTCACGGTGTCGCCGACTACGAAGCGCATGACGCGATCAGTTGCGGCGAAGTCGAGGTTTCCTACCATTCCGCGCTCGTTGAGCATTGTGATGTTCTTGCCTTGGAAGTCGGCGAAGTCGACGACGATCTCGTAGCGTTCACCTTCGGAGATAGCAAAGCTCGATGTGTTCACGGGGTGGGAGAAAAGTCCTCCATCCGAACCGATCATGGTGAAGTCCACGGTCTCTTCAGTCGTATCGTCTTGCAAGTATAGGACAAAGGCTAGATACCGTTAGTAAGATTGCAACTGGGGGATTTGTGGGGTGACTTACAACGGCTGATAGTACCGTCAAGGATGCGGAAGCGATATTTGCGTGGCTCAACATTCATGTACGGCCATGGTTGACCATTTCTGTTTCTGGGTCAGCTCAAGAATTAACTATCCAGAGTAATGTACACATACACATGAATCACATCACCCCACAGTCCAGTGTTGTTGTTCGTATCGAAAAGTAGCGAGCCATCAGGATTGTATGTCTTCGCGCTCAAGGATAACGGGATATCGTGGTCACCGGTTGGCAATCCGAGGGCTTTTTCGTCTTCGTCCGTTATGATGTAAAAGCCAGAGAGGCCCCTGTATACATTTTCGCCGGTCTGGCGCTCAGTATGGTCCTGTTAAAAGTCAACATGTGGTTTACAAGATAGAAGGAGATCAATGGAGACTGACATGGTACCAGATCGTTCGAGCGTTCTGTGCGTTCGGATAGTAGTAGTCTTTGTATTGACCGGGGAATGCGTAGTCTGCGGCCCAGCCATCGAACGGAGCACGGTTGTACTGGCCGTGAACATGGACTGATGAGTTTGTTGGACTGGTGTTTGTATATCGCACTACTGCCTCTGATAATTGAATCAGCTTTGACTTCATACATAGAACAATGCCGAGACCTACCTCGCCCTTTTCGCATCATGAATGTCGGTCCCGGTGACGACCCATCATATGTGTATAGAGTAGTGGCTGGTAGATTGGGGTATATTTGTTGGGTGGCTGCCTTGACTTCCACCTCGTAGTAGTCAATAACGGCACCGGTAGTCTCATTGGTGTAGGTGCTACCCACTGTCAGCGTTCGGCCACTTTCAACATGATGAGTACTCACAATTTGGCCTCCTTCACAGCAGGTATTGGTAGGGGATACTGGAAGATCCATGTGTATTCTGGGCTGTCCCATCTTTCGGTCTTATTGTTGGAGGGTATCGTGTCATATGGTGGTACATCGGTCGGGCTAGGAATTGGAATATGTGAAGGTAAAGTTACGTTGGCTAAAGGAGTGGCACGTATGCTGTGTATCAAACAGCCGACGAAAAGAAATGAACGAGTGACAAAGGGAGAATGCATCTTGGGAAGGAAACTCGACCAGCCTGCTTCCGCGGATGACGAGGCATCTCGAAAGCTTTAAGGAGAGAGCGATCAAACATTGTTGTTGACGTATGAGAACAGAACCGATCGTTTGATGAGGCATGGGCCATGTGATAGATCCTGCGTATCTCGCAAAACGAAGGACAGGCGCAGGGACTGTTGTGGCTGACTCCCAAGCATGCGGATCAGTATGTAGTGACTCCTCTAATCGTGCCAGGATCCACCATCTTGGGAAAGGAAGTTAAGGAGAGTTGGGCCATCGAAGATTGCACGTTGAATTGAGTTGAGAAAAGCGAAGAAAAAGAAAGTCAAGGGGGTTCTGCGGCGGTACGCCACGAGAGTGCAGTCAGTGTCGTCGGCATCATTAGATCTTGACACTAGAAGAGCGCTATACTGTTCTCCATCACTCAATACTTGAGCTGGGTGTGCGATTACAGCGTGGCGCACGAGTTGATGTCGTGAACAAGGAGCTACGATGATCTGTGGACCCTTCCCGCGTGCAGATGATGTCTAGGCTTGAAGCGGTAACGCTAATGCTTTCTTTGGCTGCTCTTCCTCCTGACACTGCGGTCTTCTCGCATTGTAACCGCACGCAACACCAACGCTTGCGCAAGACCCTGACACTACCTTTACATGCGTTCTCTTATCTCTGATCGCCAGTTACGAAGCTTATGCTTGCGTGCCAGTCCCTCGCTCGTGCCCCTCCTATCTTTGATCAACACTTCGCCAGATGCTGTAGCTCGGCCAAGCAGCGCCTCACGGTCTCCGCATCTCTCAATCTTGACAAAAAGCACCTCGATGTCTATTCTTGCTGTATAGCCGAGCACTAGCACGATAACGAGGCTGAACGCGAGGCCCCGAGTTATTGGCATGTCGCACCTGCCACACTACCACCGTGCTTGTTGCCATGATCGGCATCACGGCTTCGAATACCGCATTTTATGTGGTGGCACGGCACGGCACGCTCTATACACCTGGTTCGGGAGATTGCCACCGTTGACGCGGTAGGGCCACGAAGCGGCAATCGATAATCGAAATGGGAGATGCACGCCCTCAAGATATCGATATTGCCCGGTTGGAATATGTGCACCGGTATCTCATGGCTTATTGTTGTTTTGACGATGGAACCAAGTCATGCGTTGATGCATTAAGAGATCCGGTTGCATAGCGTGAGCAAGTACACGAGGTTGCGACTTTGCAAAGCCTATCATTCGGCCGAATGCGCTGCAAACACCAGCAGTCGAATATTCTTACATCTTGACTAATTCAGTCAGGTTAGCAGCTCACGTACAGAAAGTTCTTTTTTGCAGATATGACCGTTGGGTGGTAGCATTCTTGATCGGAAACTATTTCAGCAAAGCAACCCTACGTGGGGGAGAAACAGCAAGTTGGAGAGACTACTGTCAGACAATAACGTCGTATCAAACTGGAGGAGTCATTCGAATTTCGACATAAAGCACCCATCGCCTTCGGGCGCTAGAGCTTTTCGAGATGCCTAGTAAAACCCATAGCCTCCAAATCCTCCGCCATAACCACCGTATCCTCCGCCATATCCTCCTCCGTATCCGTCATCGTACCCACCACCGTACCCACCGTATCCATCATCGTACCCGCCATACCCATCGTATCCACCATGTCCGCCATCGTATCCTCCGTACCCACCGTCAAAGCCTCCCCCATATCCACCGTAACCTTCATCATACCCGCCATATCCGCCATACCCATCGAATCCTCCATCATAGTCATCAAAATACCCACCAGGAGCATAGTCCTCGTACCCATTATCATACCCAAACATTCCTCCAACGGGCATTCCCCGTTGAAACCCCCTCGCATAAGCTTGCCCTCCCATTTCCACCTCATCATATGCATCATGAAACCCCTGGAAATGCCCCATGGGGAATCCTTCTCTCATACCACGTTGGTCCCAGCCGGCCTTCTCAGCCCGCTCACGGCCTGCCTTGTATCCTTTTTTGGGGTGGCGTGGCATATCGCCCGTTGGGGGATCTTGGCCTGGCAGCCAGTACTGTGCCGTGGACGTGCGCCCATCTGTGTCCTCATAATGGTGTGTCCATGGACCTTCTGAAGTAGCATGAGGGCTGGCTGCGAAGGCGCCGTCCAATATGTGCTGCCGGCTTGGTGCTTTTTTCGATTTCTTCGCCATTGTTAATTGACTTGGATCGTAGTTTGTAAGGTGATGTGAGTGATGCTACTTTGCGAAGTTGGTATGTGTGTTGAGGAGAAGAAAAAGTACCAAAGAGCAGGATATATATTAGCTGTCGACCTTTCTATGACGACGCCAGATGTTGATGACTCGAGGATGTGTTGGCAAGATCTTGATAACTCGAGGCTGTGCTTGCAAGATCTTGGTGAAGAGAAGCTATACGTATGGTCGAAGTGCGACTTGCCTATGATGGTATGATGTGGCACGCTGTTTGTTAGATCAGTCACATTCCTGTTGATCCTGCATTGCCCTCTGTCAATTCTCGTCATACCTCCTGTTTACTTTGTATCCATACAAACCCGCCGCATGTCTGGCTCTGCTTAATTCCATGACCCGTCCATCTGAATGCTTTCGTCAACGGTGATGATGGTGATCATCATCGCCAATTCTCGTCCCGTTGAATCACAACCCGCTCGACAGCACCCATAGTATTCGTCGTTGGCGACTTTTCGTTCTTTCGGTTGGAGGTAAAGTTTAACCCGAACTCCAGCACACATGGCATTTCTTGTATTTCGTTTTTGTTTGGAATGTTCTCGAGTGGGTAATAGCGATGCAGAGAGAAAGATTCCCGATCTTTATACAGACTTGGATTGGCGCTAAGCTTATTGCGCGAGCGCAGTCACTGCTACTCATGACCGACTGGTTCAGCGATCTTGGGAAAGATATAGTATCGGGATGAACATAGGGCAATGAGTCCTCATACTATTTTTCGAAGAGCTCAGCGTTTTGGTACAACGAGGGAGAGGAGCGAGGAGCACATCAACTGGTTGTGCGGTAGTTTTGGTAAAATGTGAGGGGGGACAGTGTGTGTGTGGAAGAAGAGGGAATGTCCTGACGTGGACATTCATATGGCGATGCACCTCAAAACCGATCACATCAAATGGTGTGAGTGGGTTTTTTGACACATTTCAAAAAGAGCGGAAAGGCGTCAACTGGAGGAGACAACCCGGACAGGCCATGACTTCGTCCAGGCTATCTTTCAGTAGCAGTTCTGGTGCTCTGACCAAGAGAAAGAACGCAGGAGACATGGGAAAAGAAGAAGCACTTTTGAAGCTATGATGCCCTGTTTGGGGAAGTCACTACACACGAAGCATGCAACGGAATAATGCGGCTTTTGATAGAGCCTGCAATCCAAGAAGGAGACAATACTCAGACTGGAGTATCCCTTTAGCAGGTGTCTGGCTTGATTCTGGCGTCTCAATGAGAATTGAGGACCCGTTCGCCCAGCAATCTTCATAAGTAGCTGATCTCAGGCATGTTCGTTTCGTTGGGTGTCTTAGAAAGGCATTGGCAACATAGAGAGCTCTTTACCATCTTTTTAGAATCGAGGAACACAAGGTATGTTTAGTTGATAAGCAAGAGGACAGGAGGAGGGAAGCAGGTATATATACGCTCATTTAGGCGAGGAGGACATCACGGCGGTGGATCCGTATTTGTCGTAGTCCCAGAGACACATCGCTGGGTTTCTTGCTGATGTTTCGGTCCATCTCGGACGCCAGGGCAGACATGGAATGTAGGGGGTGTCTTTTGTAGAAATGAAGTGCTGCGAAGGACCGCAGTCGCCACATCATTGCCGTCGTTTTCGTTTTTGGAAATATCGGCGATAGTTGTAGGTTGGAAGGGAATAGATAACTGGTATAGATGCTTTTATAGTGCCAGACTGCAGAGAAAAACACATCAGGACTATCTTTCCTAGTTTTCAACACGGTCGGCTCCCGTATATCACGTCTCATGTACTCCAGAACAGCTTTCATCTACCGTACCTCTCTTGATTTTGGTGGGTGGCACTTTCCTAATCGGGTAATTTTTCGAAAGGTGTCGATCGCGGGCGTCTGCATAGTTACCACCGCGCCCCCAGCCCAGTAATCGTAACAGTACACCAGCCCACCACACATACATTATGAGCCTCTGATTTTCAGTTTTCCTCCCAAGAACAATGACGGTACATCACAGAAACTGGGTAAGACGTGAAGGTAAATATAGAGGCTGGAGTTGATTTGGGCGACTGGTTTTCGCGCAGTCGTGGTGGTCCTCGGTGGACACATGATATTGAAGGTATGCGCTTTGGCTACCAGTGTACCCGCTTCATGAGGACTCCGCATCCTGCTTTGTACTCAGAGAATGCCCATGATATAATCTTTCATGGTACTGTTTTGGAAGTCTCGGCGATTTTGACATTGGCATCTTGGAAGGAATGGACGAGGCTTCTTTCTCGTTGCATGCGGAAGTCCAAAGTGCGTTTTGGAGAGACCAACGCAACGACAACTCCATCACATCTCTCAGGTGTTTTTTTTTGGTAATACGATAACAGAAGTGCAGTGGAATAG